ATGGAATAACCGCCTAGTTTTGGTGCCCAGAAGGAGTCTGAGATGATGTACAAACTCAAAAGGTCATTATATGGCTTCTAACACGAGCTTTGTTTGGACGATTTTCTTGTATTGTATATGATTTGGACTCCTTCGTTCTCAAAAATATTACTCCGTATTTTGGCGGTAACATGAAGATAATACTCTGTGATACATGTAGATAACATTATGCGATGATGCATAAGGAGTTGAGGATTTGAATCTACATTTGCAACAAAATTTTTAGGACAAAGAATCTTGAATCCTTAAGCTATTTATTGGTTATTCAACTTGCAAGGTCTAAGAAAGGATTTTATTCTCTCGAAGAAAGTATATATTTGATGTGCTCACATAAGCTGGAATGCTAGGTTGTATGAATATTGATTTATCAGTGAAGGTAATGATAAGTTGCTAGCAAATCAAGGGAGCTTTTGGAGGAATCCGAGAGAATTGAGAGCTTGTAAGCAAAATAATTTAACAATAACCAGACCATATACTGTTTCTTTGCTGTAAGTGTTGTTGAGCCAATATCTTTTACCACTAAGAACAACTCATTGAAATGTTGTGATGAAAGGTTCGGATAGTTGAAGAAAGTTCCAAGAAAGGGGCTTCTTTATTTAGATTGTGATATACTAGCTTTGCATGTATCTTTGATGCAAATTGGGTAGGGTTGCAAATTGATAAGCAATCAAGTATATGACAGTCTTTCTTGGAGAAAATATTGTATCCTGGAACTGGAAGAGCAAGAAGTAGCATGTAACGTCCCGATCCAAGCGATGACACTGGCATTGCATGTTTCTTTGATGCAGATTGGATATGGTCGTGAATTGATAAGCGAACAACTACACAATATTGTATTTCTCGGAGAAAATCTTGTATTATGTAAGAGTAAGAAGCAGAGTGTATTACCCTGATCCAGTACTAAGTTAGAATATTGTGCAATGACAAATGTGACCTGTGAGTTAATCTAGATTAAATACATGTTAATTGAGCTTGATTTTGCACTAAAGTATCCTATAAGCTCATGTGATGATGATAGGTTGCTATTCACATTACTGAGAATCCTTTGTTTTACTAGCTATTCTACTAGCAAACGAAATGCATTGAGGTTGATTGTCACTTTGTATGTGAAAAGATACACGATGGGGATATATATATATATATATATATATATCATTAAAGAATCAATTTACAAATCTTTTTACCAAGTCTTTTGGGAAAACAAGTGGATATCATTTGTGACAAGTTGGACATATACGATATATATGCTTCATCTTGAGGGAGAGTATTATGAGAGGACTTTGTTTATTTAGAATTATAAATTCCTCAAATTACACACAAATGAATAAAACTTTTGTAAGTTGAAACTTTGAGAGGATATGGGGAAAATATTAATAATTTCCATCGAAAAGGGTGGAACAATGAGTTTGAGAGAAAAGAGAGGTATAAAAGAATAGAAGCAACTAGAATCTTCAATTTTAAGATGAGTGACAAAATGACCAACTGGTTTTCCTACTGTGTTCACCAAGGAGAACAGCATAATTTCTCTCTAAGGAAATTGATATATATTTTGTTCAGATGACTTTTTCTCGATTCACATGTGACTATCAGAATCAACTCTTTTTTCATATAGATTTACAACTTACAAGAGAAATTCCAAAGTGAACCTTAAAAATAAATACATCGTCCAGTATTGTACTAGTAAGTAGTAACCATATTTAGGGACTGTTTGGTTGGAGGTAAATGGAGTTGTAGAAGTAAATAGAGCAATCAAATTTGTATATACATTATTCTGTTAGCAACTTTGTAATGAAGAAAGGTAAATGGCTTGCATTTTATAAAAAAACATAAAAAAAATATTACAGCCAGTTTAGTGGGAGTAAAAGATGCATGTTTAAAAAAAAAGAAAATTAAAAAATTGCACCTCATCAAAAAGATCTTTTTAAATTCAAATAGGGAAGCCATCTCCACCCAAGTTACCTTACATGGTAGAATTATGTAGCTTTTTTCACTAATTGGTTTTGAACTAAATACTAAATTTACATTGGAAATATATTTCTTTCCCAATATAATTGCAAATATCAAAACAGTAAATTTGAATTTGATTTCCTTCAACAATTGTTGTATGCATCATTTGCTGTAACTTGTTTTGCAGCAAATCAAACATATAAAATAATATAATTACAAGTATGGAAACAGTGAATTTGAATTTGATTTCCTGCAACAATTGCTGTATGCATCATTTGTTGTATCCAAGTAGTAAACTTGCTTCTTTGTTTGGAACCTAGATAATTTATTTGAAAAGAATCTGAAATATAATTAATACCAGCTACTTAACGTGCTATACGCTCTGTTCTTCCTCTTGCATACACTAATTTACCCAAATTCTTGTGCGAAACATAACTTATATCTCATTTTAAACTTAGTTACTTATATAATGCAAAATAATTTAGTTTACTCCAGTTTGTTACAAAATGTAACGATGTTATGGAAACAAAAAGTAGAGCTAAGCTCCAAGGTGTGTCTTAGATTTTGGGATTTTAGCATGGCTTTAGTGGCGGATAGTGCCAACTGAAATGTTTAGATAAATTAAAAAACTTAAAAAATAAAGCAAAATAAGGAAAAATGGAAAAGGGAGAAAAATCTAAAATAAAAGAGGGAAAAAATGTGTCTAAGCCCCAAAAATAAAAAGTTCATGTGACTAAGCTTCTCATTTTTTAGACTCAAAAAGCTCTAAAAACTAATTTTTCATGTGATAAATCTATTCTCAACCTATATTATTCTCCTATCCCTAAAATACCCTTAATATTCTTCATCCTCTCCTCCCTTTCTCCCTCCCTCCCTTCTCCACCACCTCCGTCCTACATTCTCCCTCGTCTCTCCTCACCCATCCTCCCTCCTCTTCCTTTTACCGAACTTCAATCTCCTCCCTTCTCTCTCCTCCATATTAACTCCGTCTTCGATCCTTCTCCGCCCCCTCCTTCTATGCACTCTTCTCATTTCACCTCATCTCCACTTTCCTCCCTCCCCTTTTCCATTCCATGTCCACCCTCCTCCCTCTATCTCCATCTATTTCCACTACCACTATCATATATCTCAAAGGTCATCTTCTTTGGCTAAAACAGTCATATCCTAAATTTACGCTAAAGATAGTTAAAGTTAACATCTGAGGTTCTTTTTGATGATAGATGTTACATTTACGGAATAGATGTTAATTTTAAACTTTACTTGTTAATGATCAAAGCCACTCGATAACTATGGATTAAAAAAATATACATACATACATACATAATGGATTAAAAAACATACATACATACATACATATGGAGTAGTTGTTAATCCATATACTTAACATTGATTTGTTTTGAGCTAATTCATATAGTTCATACATATCTGTTAAAACTTAACAGCTAGGTCATATAATTATCACCTACACTTAGCACTTAAGTCATACTTAACATCTATTTCATATAGTTAACATCTATCTATTTTAGCCAAAAGGTGTTGACTTTCGCTGTGAAGCTTAGATGTTAATTTTAACTTCGGCGTGACTTTAGGAGACGAACATTTTAGCTAAAGGAAACAGTCTTTGAGTGATGTCACAATTACTATGGGATGAGAAGAGATGGTTGAGAAAAGAGGGAAAATCATAAATATGTCGTGGCGGCGAAAAAGATAATAGTTGAGGAAGGATGAGAAGAAAGAGAAGGAGAGTGCAGTGTCGGAGGTGGTGGTGAAAGAGATATTAGTTGAAGAGAATGAAAAGAAGGGAGAAATTTTATCATGGGTTCATGGTAAAAAAAAGGATAGATGAGAGCTTGAGGGTGATGGTAGTTCGGGAATAGGAAAGCCAATTTCTGTCTCTACTGAGGTGACAGCTAAAAAGGGGTATAAAACACATAAGAAGTGTGTTTTTGGGGCTTTTTCACATGTGCCAAAAGGGAGCGACTTAGTTGCATGAGTTTTTTACTTTTCGGGGCTAGACATATTTTTCACTAAAAGAGAGCTTTTGGATTCATATTTGTAACATTGATAGCCAATAGGTAATATATTTGCGGTATCTCAAAGACAAACACAATATCAATTTAAGAATCAAGAAAAAGTATGATGTAAAAATTTAAGAAATTTTGAAAAACGTGAGGGAATTTGGCATGACAATAATTCCATTGTTGAGAAATAAGCTTTTGAAAACTTGTGCAAACTTCTATTGTCTGAGGATACTATCCTAGTCAAATTAGTCACTTACTGCTTAGACTGTCGATAATCACTTACTGCTTAGACTGTAGAAAATTTAGTAAATTGGAGTATACGGCTCTGTGAGAGCCAGATTGGTTTATTCAAGTTCAGTCAAAATAAGTGTATCAAGGACCGAACATAGGCCTTTAATCCCATTTCAGGATACAGAAAGTGGGCTGAAGCAGGTCTGAGCAAGAATATAATTCTTAAAATTTTCGACACTTCAACTACAATGTTTGGTTGAAGTGTAGTATCATCTGGATTGTTTCACCTAAAGCAGCTATGTTGGAGCATATTCATTGTATACATGAATCAGTTTTGCTCAAGTGGAACAAAGCACAGTAATTTCTCAAGAAAATTTTATAAATTGACGGCAAAATCTGCTCGAGGGTGTTTTTAATTAAGCTTCCGGCCACTATGGTTTGAATAGTCAGTAAACCATGAGAAGGGGAAAAAAAACATTGGTGGATACTTTTCTTTTCCTTTCAACAGAACAGGTTCTAGGGCACAGGTTATACCTTTGTATTTAACATACTTATTGCAATATTTTTTCTGTGGTTTACATTACTCTGGTTAGTGTTTTTAATTACTCTGGTTACTTATCACCAGTCGGATGCCGGGAAATATTTGGTGATATCTGAAAGTATGTTATGTACATGAATATAAAATGGACTTATCTGGATCCCTTTCCCGAATATGTTAAATCTTTAATCAAATATGATAATCACTGTCTTGAACTCTCTTAGGTTTGGCCAATGAAGAAAAATTGCGAGCTCTTTCTGAACCAGAGTCATCAAAGCCGAGCTCTTCACATGCATCACCACCCCAAGAACCAGATGCAAATGTTATCTCAAAAAGATTGGAGAACTCACCTGTTAACGAAATTCCAGAGTCCTCGAGCTTAATAGATGACCCATCCTCTCAAGAAATCAGCCAAGATACAGTGATGATTGATGCTGACTTCTGTGAGCAGGTCAGAACCCTGAAGCAACGCCTAATAGAGCGCACCAATGATTATGGCGTGCCGCAGCTGGAGAGACTCTACTCTCGGTTGTTGAAAGGTGTGATGACCATGAAAAATAGAGAAGGCCACAAGAATCATAAAACGTTGATTTTGAGTCATCTTTTAAAATTTGTTGAGGATGATGATAATTTTTAAGTTAAAAAATTTTCCGTTACAATTTTCCCCGTCAATTTTTATTGGCCTTGTACATCTGACATGCAAAATGCTTTTATTCCATGTTATATGATGTAAGGGCTCCTTACCCAGTTTGGGCAATCATTATTTCACTCTTTTTTGAGGTGATGCAGCATATTATGTTCTTACTTGAGCTCATTCTGGCAATAGTTTTGGTATTAATCTGCATTCTGAATTGGGCTGTGCTATAATTTAATTTGGAACTCCGGGTTCAAAGTGTTATAATGCATTCAAGCAAGAGAGATGATAGAACTCGAGCAATCTACGGAGAGAGTATCGATATCCACGATGCTGTTTAGTTTTCTTTTACATTTTTCTTCCTCGTGACAGCTGATTACTAAAGTTCATCGCGCCACTGAAGTGTGGGAGAGGGAAGGGTGGGTGGTACACTTGAAGCTACAAATGACCATAATATGAAATTAAGCAAAAACAATAAATAAATAAAATAAAAACAAGGAACATCCCCTTCAGCATGCTGTTAATGAATAATATCGAGCAGGATGCCATCAGGGCTGCGCAACGTAACTGTTGAGCCTCTGTTTCTCGATCCTCAGGTGTGACCTTTGTTTGTTGTAAGCAAGAGCGTTTTATGAGTTCCCCTCCTCTTTAGACCAAATACGCGAGGATGCAATCAGACTGAGCCTTTGCTCCACTCTGATGTCGATGTATTTGCGACCCCCTTCGAACTGTCATGTAATGGACTTCATCATACTTCAGAGGCAATCTCAGGGCATCCCATCCTACATCTTTGTAGAAAATATAGCTGTAAAATAATGCGTACCGGATAAGGATTTTAATCATCAACTCGGGCGCACCTTCCAGTGTCTACGGCAAATGCACCAAACTTTACGTTTGCGCAAACTATTATCCACCAAACAAATCACTGCTAGACATCAATTAGCGAATTACCCAAGTAACTGACAACAAGCGTCTCCATGCTAAATCATCGATCTCGTATTTTTAAACACTCTGCCTCGTCACAACCGAAACGTGTTCAAAGCAATATTCAATTAGTAATCTTTATAGAGTCAAACTCTATGACTATGCAGAGACTCAGCAAGATCCCTGATTCCATGAGTAAGCTATGGATCAATAAACACCGTGAACTAGGGATGTGTAACAGCATAAAGTAATATAATCCCCCTCTGCCTTTTTCTGAAGTCCAGAGGTTAGTGAGTTAAACATATATGTATTGAAGGATGAAATTCCACTGCGCTCCTAGCAATGAGCACCTCAAGTTTCATATTTACAAAAGCACATTAACATAGTTATCACTGTTTTTTAATCCTCGCCTGCAGTGTTTGTAGGGTATTCAGCATTTGGGTAGCTGCAGATTCCCGAGCTTCATGCGGGCTACTTTTCAGATCACCATCGTCGGCAAACTCAAAATCTGTCCCATGTACTGACACAGTAGCCTTGAACATTCCTGCGGAAAAGGCACGAGTCCAAAGTTTAGTTAGAGCAAGGCATTTCGGAAACTAAATTGGTTTGAAGATAATATTGCCATTTTTTGCAAGTGTTAGTCTAGTGGTTTGGTAAAAACACTGTTGCAAATAAGGATGGACCATACGATTGTTTCATGAAACGAGGTTGGTTAATATATACACATTATACAATGAAAAAACAACAAGAATTACCAGTGCTCTCACAGCCTGCAAGTGATGGAAATACAGTATATCTGGGTAATATCCAGCCATTCTCGTGGCATATATCATCCAGTTCCTGCAGATTAAGTACAGAAAAACTCAGCATTTCTATATGTATAAGGTGATGCTTAAGGATAAGATGAATAAGGTCATAAAAATTATGTAACCATTTTCATTTTGTTCAGCAGAATTCATATGTTCCTATGTACAGATCGCTTGCATGATTTCGTTTATAGTCTGCTTATTTCTTTTCTTGTTTTGACTGCATAAAATTACTTTCATTTGAACTATTGGATTCATAAAACTCTGGGTTCATTGTTCTCTCTTCTATATAAAAAGAGCCTAATACCATCTTATTTTTCATCTATCAACTCCTACTGAAGAAGTGAGTTGTCCCATATATACATATATACTGTATTTCCATCACTTGCAGACTGTGAGAGCACTGGCAATTCTTGGTGTTTTTTCTTTGTATAATGTGTTTGCAGTAACCCACCTCATTTCATGAAACAATCATATGGTCCATCCTTCTTTGCACAATAGTGTTTTTATCAAACCACTAGACCGATCAAACCAATTTAGTTTCCGAAATGCCTTGCTCCAACTAAACTTTGCGCTTGTGCCTTTCGGCAGGAATGTTCAAGGCCACTGTATCAGCACATGGGACAGATTTTTAGAGCACCAACGATGGTGGGCTAGCAGATAAGATGGATTTTGTAACGGAGGGACTAATTTAAAAAAAAATTTACACGCAACCTGAGAGAAATTTTAATGATTCAGGGCCCTAATATTGAAATAACGCAAATACCATAAGGATCTGTCCATCTACCATTTGTATAAAAGCTACATTTGTTGTTATTTACTTTAATATTCTTTAGACAAAGTGCATAATATTTTTAAATTACTCTTGGATTTAAAAATAATCATTAGTTAGCTAAAATCTCTATTGTCATAAAGCAAACACTTCGCTCTACAACGTTTTAAAAATATCGTTAGGATATTGCTGTCCATATATCATCTGTATAAAACGCTACATTTGCTGTAATTTACTTTAACATTCTTTAGACCAAGTGCATAATAGGGCCCTAATATTGAAATAACGCAAATACCATAAGGATCTGTCCGTCTACCATTTGTATAAAAGCTACATTTGCTGTTATTTACTTTAATATTCTTTAGACAAAGTGCATAATATTTTTAAATTACTCTTGGATTTAAAAATAATCATTAGTTAGCTAAAATCTCTATTGTCATAAAGCAAACACTTCGCTCTACAACGTTTTAAAAATATCGTTAGGATATTGCTGTCCATATATCATCTGTATAAAACGCTACATTTGCTGTAATTTACTTTAACATTCTTTAGACCAAGTGCATAATAGGGCCCTAATATTGAAATAACGCAAATACCATAAGGATCTGTCCGTCTACCATTTGTATAAAAGCTACATTTGCTGTTATTTACTTTAATATCTTTAGACAAAGTGCATAATATTTTTAAATTACTCTTGGATTTAAAAATAATCATTAGTTAGCTAAAATCTCTATTGTCATAAAGCAAACACTTCGCTCTACAACGTTTTAAAAATATCGTTAGGATATTGCTGTCCATATATCATCTGTATAAAACGCTACATTTGCTATTATTTACTTTAACATTCTTTAGACAAAGTGCATAATATTTTAAAATTACTCTTGGATTTAAAAATAATCATAGCTAAAATCTCTATTGTCATAAAGCAAACACTTGGCTCTATAATTTAACCGGAGTTTAATTTTTATTTGTGAATAATTCTTGCAAAATTAAGGGTGGGTATAAACCGATTAGAAGCATGGGCGAACCGGCACAACCAAGGATGGGTCAAGACCCAGTCTGGCTCGGTGGTTCATAAGCTGGGTTGGGTTTTGATCTAAACTCGGATCCAAAGAGGCGGGGCCTGTCCACTATTGCCCTAGCCTACAGTTGGCCAAGCCCAACTTTACTATGATTGTTATTTTATTTTATTACAAAACTAAAATAATTTTTTTCTCTTCTACTTGTAATTTAAACTTAGTTACAATACATGGTGTAACTAAGCTAGTTACGCACATCTCTAAAAATACATGTTTGACTGAATATTGACGATCCATGCCGTTCATTATGATTAATGCATTAAAAACTCAATAGAGATAAAAAAAAAGACATAAATGTTAAAATAAATGGATTACTAACTGTTTTCATGAAAATATTCAATTAGTCATGTGAAAACCTCACTGGCAGTAGAAATCTGTGTCTAACTACTTATTTCAATTACAGTATTGTCATGCAGCCAATTTAACCTGAAAATGGGTTATCGGATAAATGGCAACCTATTAAACACTAGAGATGAGAAACTTATTAGTAATCAATTCATAAAAATGAATTGTTAGTTTATTACTATATTCAACAAGATTTGCAAGTCCCATAAACATAAGAAATAGTGTGCGTGTGTGTGCCTGCATGTCTGTGTGCGCGTGGGCATGTTTGTACGTGCGCGCGCTTCTGTGTGCGCGCGTTTGAGTAGTATGTGTCAGATGTACATGTGTGTATGTGCTCACGTGTTTTACAAATGAAATCTAAAAGTCAAAGAGCAGGAAGCATGATTTGAGCCTCTAGCAGACGACGATCATCATAATTGTTTTTATTTAGCCAAGAAAAACATGCATGATGTTGAAGAAGAGAAGACAGATCCAACCACGGAACCTAATGTTTATTTAGTTGTCATATGATGATAAACAGAAAAAAGAAACTAACTATTCACAAAAGGAGTTTAAATCCATGGGTAATTGTGATGCATAGGCGGGTTTTTAAGATGTGACAGAAGATATTCATTCAGGAGTTTAAATCCATGAGTTATTGTGATGAATATGCGGGTTTTCAATTTCATAAAGTGTTCTAGAGTTGTTCTATAGTGCCATAAAAAGTATACCACTTGCCTGACATGAATTTACTGAGCTAAGAACTGCCTCAGAGAACTTCCTCCTTTTACTATTTTGAGAAAGTCTCTGCTCTTCAGATGACAGACCCATACGAACTTGACTTGAGCTTAAGCTGTTAAGTGCTTCGATTACCGAGTCAACTTGCAATGTCGAACTCTCATCTCCTACGAAAGAAAGTAACCAAATCAAAGTGTCACTAGTGAAAGTTTCCCATGTGAATTTCTAATTTTTCTAAATAAAAATGGCATAGTTGAGTTTAACTTTTGACAAAAGACAATAGAGATTGACTAAATCCACACTAATCTACGGACAAAGTAAAAGAGGATCGATTTACTTATATGTTAATAAAATGATAATTGCAATATTCATTTCTTTTCTTTTTTCAGAAAGTTATCTTGGTCCTATAAGAACGTTCTGGAGTCGACCAATATTGCATGTCTTGGTATTTACTGGTGATCAAGTCCAATAATTAGTAACTGCTAACCATTAGTCTCAAGACTAACAACACTTAAGTTTTGATGATTAGCAAATCCCTTTTGATGCAAAAATACCATGGAGATAGTTTTTTGCTTAATAAATTATTTACATCGATCTAGCCATGGAACATTGGAAATAGGTCGGAAGAAATCAAGATTAAATTGCAATACCTAGAAGAGGTTGGAGGGAATCAATAGTTGTCAACTTTCTATTCAATAATCATATAATTTGAAAAAGCATGGCCCTTATCTAATCAAGATAACGTCATTCTATTAAGCACCTTTAATGCAAATGTAAGGTAATAAGTTAGTTATTTATCTTGGCACATATGGTCTAATTCCATTTTATATTCACTCTTTTATCTTTATCTATATGAGCTAAATCCATCTTGATCATATTAAGCTCACATACAAGATGACTATATGGCCATTTGCTGGATATATTTTTCAATCGTACGTCTCGCAGTCAAATCAAGATATATCTTACGCTCATGTACCTGATTGACTATCATTCCCATTTGATGAATACATGAATTATAACATCATATTGTATATTTATAATTACCCTCCTTACTATGCATTCGACTTTCAAGTCCTTGATTCACTTGAATATTGTTAGTAAATTTAAGAGCTGCTGTTTTACTCAGTCTTCTGTTCTGTTTTATGAAGGTTCTAGTCTTTAGGAGCACTAGCTGTTATCTCTATTTTTCAGTAGGTTAGTTGTTGTTTTTCAGGTCAAGTAAGTGTCTAGGAACGTGTCCCTGTTAGTAGCAGAAAATGAGGAATTTAGTTATGGGTCATTGTGTATTTTATTCTGCATTTTTTTTATGATCAGTATGGATTTTCCCCCTCTTTTCCAGTTCTACTCTCTTTATCTATCTCCTTTCAAATAAAATCAACAGTGGTATCAGAGCCTGCCTTGATCTTAAGGGGCTGCGAAAATAGCTTGTGAGAGTGATCGAGAGGTGAGGGTGCATTCAAAGAAGCTGAGTGAACATGGAAGCAAGTTCGAGCAGTCTTCCTGCCCTGGCTCCACCAATGTTCGATGAGGAGAACTATCAAGCTTGGGCAGTAAAAATGCAAGCCTACATGGAGGGTTGTGATTACTGGAAAGCAGTAGAAGACGACTATGAGGTGGCTGCACTTCCTGACAATCCAACCATGAATCAAATCAAAAATCACAAGGAGAGGAAAACTAGAAAAGCCAAGGCCAAAGCATGTCTGTATGCTGCTATTCCACCAGCCATTTTCAGTAGAATCATGGCTTGTGAATCAGCTAAGGCAATCTGGGACTTCCTCAAAGCAGAGTACCAAGGAGATGAAAAGATCAAGAGCATGACGGTGTTGAATTTGGTCAGGGAGTTTGAGAGATTGCAGATGAAAGAGTCTGAGACAATCAAAGAGTATTCAACCAAGTTGATTGACGTTGCAAACAAGGCAAGAATGTTTGGCACTGACCTCTCTGACAATAGGTTGGTGCAAAAGATCCTTGTTTCTTTGCCTGAGAGGTATGAGGCAACCATTGCTTCATTAGAGAATACCAGGGACTTGTCTCAGATCAAGCTGGCAGAATTGGTTAGTGCTCTGCAAGCACCTGAACAAAGGAGGTCGATGAGGCTGAAAGGAAGTGTCAAGAGGCTCTAAGGGCCAAAGTGCAACACAGCTCTGAAGGAGAAGAGAAGAAGTGGAAAGGGAAGAAGGGAAGTGACAGTAACTCAGAGGTTGCTGCAGGAGAAGGCAGTGCAGGCAACAAAGGAGGAAGATATTCTCCATGCAAGCACTGTGGTAAAAAGAATCATCCCCATTTTAGATGTTGGAGAAGGCCAGATGTAAGGTGCAGGAGATGTTAAAAAATGGGACACATTGAGAAGTTTTGCAAGGAGAAGGGAGACCAGCAGCAAGGTGAAGCACATGTTGTAGTCCAGCAAGAGGTAGATCAGCTGTTTGTTGCCTCTTGTTTCATTTCTAGTACTCCATGTGACAGTTGGCTTGTTGATAGTGGTTGTACAAACCATATGACAAGTGATGAGAAACTGTTTAGAAACCTTGATAAGTCAATAAAATCAAGGGTAAGAATTGGAAATGGAGAATACTTAGCAGTAGAGGGTCGAGGGACTGTGGCTATGAAGAGTTGTGCAGGGATTAAGCTGATTTCTGATGTAATGTATGTTCCTGAGATTGATCAGAACCTGCTAAGTGTGGGGCAGTTGGTAGAAAAGGGATTTAAGGTAACATTTGAAGAAGGAAAATGTTTGATCTTTGATTCTAGTGGCCAGGAGTTGTTCAAGATAAAGATGCAGCAAAAAAAGTTTTTCTCTGAATCCTCTCGAAAAGGAGCAAGTGGCATTCAAATGTCAGGCCAATGATTCAGAGATATGGCACAAAAGATTGGGGCATTTTCACCACAAAGGCTTGCAGTTCATGAAAAAAAAATGAGATGGCAAAAGGGTTACCAAACCTGGAGGAGCAACTCTCAAGCTGCAAAACTTGTTTGATGGGCAAGCAAGCCAGACTTCCCTTCAAGGAGTCAACTTGGAGAGCTACAGAGAAGCTGCAGCTGATCCATACAGATCTCTGTGGTCCACAAGCAACTCCTTCACTAAGTGGCAGCAGGTATTTCATTATCTTCATTGATGACTATACAAGAATGTGCTGGATTTACTTCATGAAGCGAAAGTTAGAAGTTGCTGAAGTGTTTCTGAAGTTTAAAAGATGGATTGAGAATCAAAGTGGCTGTAGGATTCAAGTCATTAGATTTGATAATGGCACAGAATACACTTCACAGAGGTTTAAGTCTTTTTGTGAGGAAGCTGGAATCCAGCATCAACTCACTGTCCCATACTCTCCACAGTAAAATGGAGTTAGTGAGAGGAAAAATAGAACCGTTATGGAGATGACCAGGTGTCTGTTGCATGAGAAGAATCTGCCAAAGGAACTTTGGGCAGAAGCAGCAAATACAGCAGTTTTTCTGCTGAACAGACTGCCTACAAGGGCATTGGAGAAGAAGACACCCTTTGAAGCATGGTTTGGTGTCAAGCCAACTCTAAAAAACTTGAAGGTGTTTGGCTGTCTATGCTACTCTTACATTCCACAGGTCAAGAGAGACAAGCTGGAAAAAAAGTCTGAAGCAGGAGTATTTGTAGGCTACAGCCTTGTGTCAAAGGCCTACAGAATATATCAGCCAAAGTATGGAAAGGTAATCACTAGTAGAGATGTTCAGTTCTTGGAAGCTGAAGAGTGGAATTGGGCTAATGACACTCAGAATGAACCAGAGAAAATGTCCTTGGAATTAGAAGAGCTGGTGGATGACATTCCAGTAAGAGGCACCAGATCTTTAGTTGATATATACCAGAGGTGCAATGTGGCTGTTCTGGAGCCAGCAGGCTTTGAAGAAGCCAAAGATGATCAGAGATGGATGAGTGCAATGAAAGAGGAGCTGGCTATGATAAAAAAAAAATCAGACCTGGGAGTTGGTGGAGAAGCCTAAAGACAGGAAAATCATTAGACTGAAGTGGGTCTTCCGGACTAAACTCAATCCTGATGGCTCAGTGAACAAACATAAGGCTAGGTTAGTAGCAAAAGGTTATGCACAAGTTTAGGGAGTAGACTTCTCTGAAACATTTGCATCTGTAGCAAGGTTAGATACTATCAGACTAGTTCTTGCCTTAGCTGCTCAAAAGGGTTGGAAAGTGTATCAGTTAGATGTCAAATATGCATTCCTAAATGGAGAGTTGCAGGAAAAGATTTATGTTGAACAACCAGAAGGATTCATCGTACCAGGTCAGGAGGAGAAGGTTTATGTGCTGAAGAAGGCTCTGTATGGCTTAAAGCAAGCACCCAGAGCATGGTACAGCAAGATGGATGGGCATTTGCTGAGTCTAGGCTTTAAGAAGAGCCTAAGTGAGTCCACTTTGTATGTTAAAGAGTTGGATTCTGACTTGATTATTGTATCTCTCTATGTGGATGACTTGCTGGTAACAGGAGGAAATGAGGCTCAGATCACTGTGTTCAAACAGAATATGATGAAGGTGTTTGAAATGACTGATTTAGGTGAAATGTCCTACTTTCTTGGCATGGAGATCAAACAAGCTCAAAACGAGATCTTCATATGTCAAAGGAAGTACTTGAAGGAGATCTTGAAGAGGTTTGGTATGGAGGAGTGCAAGAGTGTGAGTACTCCAATGGGTAAGAAAGAAAAACCGGAGAAGAATGATGGAGCTGACCCTGCAGATGAAGGTCTTTATAGGAGCTTAATTGGTTGCCTAATGTACCTCACAGCAACCAGATCAGACATCATGTTTCCCGTAAGTGTTCTGTCCAGATTTCTAAACTGTGCTAGTGAGTTGCATATGGTAGCTGCAAAGAGGGTGCTGAGGTACTTGAAGGGTACTATCTCATATGGGATTAAGTTCTGCAAAGTTCAGGATTTCAAGTTGCATGGTTATTCTGATAGTGATTGGGCTGGATCAGTGGAAGACATGAGAATCACTTCTGGTTATTGCTTTACATTTGGGTCAGGATGTTTCTCTTGGTGTTCAAAGAAGCAAGAGCCGGTGGCTCAATCAACTGCAGAAGCTGAGTTCATTGCAGCAATTGCAGCTGCAAATCAAGCAATATGGTTGAAGAAGCTGATAGATGATCTGCATGTGCATCAAGATGATAACATAGAGATCTTTGTGGACAATCAGGCCACTCTGGCCATCTCACAGAATCCTGTCTTTCATGGAAGAACAAAGCATTTCAAAGTTAAGTATTACTTCTTAAGGGAGGTGCAGAGATCAGGTGAAGTGAAGCTGGTGTATTGTAGTTCAGAAAATCAACTTGCAGACATATTCACAAAGTCATTTCATGTCGGTCGTTTTGAGACTCTTAGGGACAAGTTGGGTGTATGTGCAGCTCAAAATTCAGGAGGAGAATGTTAGTAAATTTAAGAGCTGCTGTTTTACTCAGTCTTCTGTTCTGTTTTATGAAGGTCCTAGTCTTTAGGAGCACTAGCTGTTATCTCTATTTTTCAGTAGGTTAGTTGCTGTTTTTCAGGTCAAGTAAGTGTCTAGGAACGTGTCCCTGTTAGTAGCAGAAAATGAGGAATTTAGTTATGGGTCATTGTGTATTTTATTCTGCATTTTTTTTATGATCAGTACTGGATTTTCCCCCTCTTTTCCAGTTCTACTCTCTTTATCTATCTCCTTTCAAATAAAATCAACAAATATCAAAGCACTAGTCTAACCTATGTAATTTGCATACCTCCTTCACTTTACACAGTCCTCGCTTTGTACTAGAAGCTGGATTAAATTAAATTGGCAAGCATATTTCGGTTGATTGAAATGAACTTCAAATGGTTGCCAATTAAATAGAATTTAGATGACCAACTCAATTCACATTCTGCAGGCCTCACAATGGCCTTTTGGTAACAGCCAAGTTTAGCTATCACACGGCCAAGGGAGCCCAATAATCTACTTGACATTGGGATAGAAAGAGATTCAAATTTCAAAATTGATAAATAATATCTTGTGTTAACCTTTAAATAGTTCATTCGACTCTCTAGATCAAAATTTTGTCATCTTGACCCATTGCTTGGCAATATCAAAACATATATAGATCAAATCTTCAAGGAAATCTCTCTGTTCTCCATGTCCCATGGATCTAGTGTACTGGGCAACTTTATTACTATCGTCCGATTAATACCTCATTGTGCTATCCAAGGAAAAACCATTGTGTTTGTTCTAAATCATTCTCAGGCTATTGCATTAAAGAATGTTGTTTCATCGCAAAAGTGTAAGACCAATAGTCAGGGAGAGTGATCAGTAAGAGAAAATGAAGAGTTCAGGAAGAACATTTGTTGTGTAAAATCACATACTGTTGAAAGAGTCACAAGCTCCCAAGTGCTTGTTCCACGATCTGGGAGGACAGAAGAACATGTAGTGAGTGTAAAACTAGCACTTGGGAAGTGGTCGAAATCTGTTCGATCTAGATTGACCATGAATGAGAAGCCTGCAGTTTGTGATAAAATACGCCTGAGAGTCATCTGGGCAGTGCATGTCGCCCATTGATGGATCAATCACTTCACACAATGCATTGATCAGTCCTCCTCTTTGCCCTATCATTATTTTATTTATATTTCATTGATAGTTAATTTTGCATCGATTTCCATATTGCATCGATTTCCATACATATGAAGTTGTAGTGACATGATACAGTTCAATATAGATTTTCATACAACCCTATCTACACCTCACCCTCAGGGGTTATATCAAAGATCTTCACTAGCCAATGCTATCCGTGGTAGGTATATCTTTAACTTTGAACCTGAGAGCGAAAAGATCTTAAACTTTGCATTCTACCACTGCTTTTTGCTAAGTAAATATCCAAAACAAAAAGAAAGTACCTCTTAGATTTTTCTGGATGTTCATTTCACAGCGAGCAATCTCATCCTGAATCAAGCGTTTTTGTTGATACTGCGTAAAACCAAAGGTCTGAGCAATTTGAATGAAGATCAAAGATTTTATCTATATAAATTCAAATGAAAAAAATTAAGAGGGAGGGATTCCTTTTAAACAAACAAATCAAAAACTACATACCAGATCATCCCTCTTTTTCTGAAAAACTCTCAAGCAAGCTTGCAGCAGATCTTTTTCCTTAGATGCCATCACATGATAAAATGAACTATGGTCACTGGACGTAAAATGCACGGGAGCAAGTGGTAGATCACCCGAAGAACATCCACCTTGATTAGCACCACTAACATACGTTCTATCTTTGTCTGTGCACTTCGTTATGCATCCAACTGAGTCTCTCCTGCATGCCTGGTGAATCCACAATGTAAATTTTGCTTTGCAGCAAAATAGAAATGACAACGAAAAACTGTATGCACGTTATATATAACTCATATATGGTAGAGAGGATCCCATTTTCTTTTATCCCTAGTGAAAGAACCTATTCACATTTAAAAAATCTCATCCTGATAAAGAAAGGTACAAGACAGATCATCTTTCAGCATTGCACAAAAGTTTGGTGAATCTGACAAGTGCATCCCTGCAGGTGTTTACTTCTGCTCAACTAATATTTTTCCAACTAGCTTGCTCCTATCGCCTAAGCCATCAAGCTTAGCATCTGCCTCAGCTTCCTGACCATGCAGGGGCAGAGCCAGGATTTTCCTCCAGTTGTGGCACAATCCCAAGTCTCAAAAATCAGAAATATTTCTTTATAATCATGTAACTGTTCAAAGATTTGAGTAGCCATATAAAGCCATAAAGACCTTCTATTTTTCATATAAAAATATGAACAGTAAAATATCACTTCCAAGATTTCATGCCTATAATTCCATTTTTACTAATATTTTGATACTAAAAAGTTTAATTTCCATTATAGTAATAATATATACATATAGAAAACGATTTTAAGTTTTTTTTATTATGTATTTATTTTCTATTTAATACTCTTGGAAGTATAAATTACATAATGCATGGTAAATTTCTATAGTGCATGATAAATTTCTGGTATCATATATAGATTCTTCAAAATTTACATAACATAATTAAACATCTCGTGTTCTAACTTCAATGCACTCAATGCTCGTGTATACGCAGTTTTGGTTTTGAATTTTTTGTTGATTATCAGCATTATCAAGTGCACCTATGTCTTTTCACATAGCTAAGCTACAACTCCGCATTTTAGATTTTGAGGAAGCCTTGCAGATCAATAGCTAGGTAGATAAGGCATATGTATGATCCTTTACAAAAGACATGCTTACAAACTGACAAGTTAAAGTCAATTTCCCAATTGCAGGTAGGTCAGTTGCCCTACCTGCCCTTAATCTAGCTCCGACACTGTGACACAAGCTTGCAGATGGATAAACACTTCCCTTCTGTAATTAGACCGTCCGGCGTCCGTTAGATCCCCTCGATCAAGTATTGGTAAGCTCGAAGTTTGCCATCACATAGTTTAAAGCTTTTACTAGAAATGTGCATGACACATCACTGATATAGGACCAAAATATCACCCGTTCAGAGAGTCATTATAGAACATAATGGGATCTGGTCTGGGTCAATCATCCTGCAGCAATGCTTTGGTAACCATACGGATATAGCCCATAGGGAATATAGCAAGAACAATCACCATTCACCACCCTTGTATGGCAGATAAAGGAGCCAATGATTTGATCTTGCATATCTGGTTGCAATCCATCAATCTGGGAATAAAAATTTTCCTCCAATCGGAGGCCCAGTATAAACAAGAAAAACTCATCCTGTCTCCTATACCTCAATGCCTCGAGATGGCAACATTGGCTAAATGGCAGAGAAACAATGGGAAACCAGAAAGTGGCTTCCAAGTCCAGACAACCAGCAACGACCAAAGTTGACACGATCAAAGTGAATACTGTTTCTTCAATGTGGAAATACCTAGCTAAAACATTTACCCTGGAATAAGGATGGCCTGGTGCCACCTCTATCTACACCTACGTGGGTGCCTATGCCCTTTTTAAAAAAGAGAGAGCCCATACTCAACCCACAGAAAGAAATTATGTGTTTATCCTTACTAGAAAAGGATAAAGAGGTTTACCCCTTACATACTGCCATTAATACTAAGGCTTATTTTAGTAAGAATACACCACTCTGATATCAAACATGACTTGCACTTGATTATGAAAATAAGGATTTAGGTGCTTGAAGAATAATCAAGATAAACTGAAAATTGTAGGAGAGACATTTACTGTGAGGAAAAAACCTGAAAAATTGCTGAAACATAATCTAGCCAACCTACAGTCAACTTGCCAAAATCTTAGTTAAACAGATTGAGCTTGAACAGTAGTCTTTAGACTCAACTTCGACTTGGGAGTCTAACTTAAACAGTTAATGAAGGCAAACTTTCCTAGAATATGCTTGACTGCATTTGGAGAGGTACACCAACTTAAAGCATTTATTCTCACTCGCAGGGATCAATATAGCACCCTTATGAATTAAATAAAAAGTAGGTGGAATTCAATAAATTCTCTTTCCAAGGAAATGTTTATTTATGAAGCTTCCTATCAAAGAGGATTTTGGTTTTGAAGTGATATGCCTATGTATACACACTTATGCAAGATATTGGAAGTTTGAGCTATAAAGGAAATTTCTTCTGCATTCTAGAACCACTATTGCCTATCTCAGAATGTAAGATCACACTGTTTAAAGTGATCACATGTCCTAAATGTACGTGGATGAAAAAACATGACCATTGAACAGCTTCAACTCACACATCAAATGGTCGCAAAATGAAGAGCTTTTCAATAATAAAACAAATGCAACTGTGAGGTCAATGGGAAAACATTTTAAAAGGATGAAGATATTAATATACTCAGGTCACAGAATGGAGATGTCACGCCCCACAACTGCAGCAGAATTTCATAAAATACGGGGTGAGCAACAGCAGGCAGCAGCGACCAGTGCGTGAGATAAGTCTTATGCACGGGTCAAGCCTGACACTTCATATCACATAGTTTATCACAAAATATTCATAAACTTGCTGATGATAGAAGTCAGAGCAACTATATATGTATATAATCGGTATTTATAGCCCACAAGCTCACCGTTATAAACATGTTTACAAAACAAAACAAATTATGCTGAAGGTAACATCAAAAAGAAGAGGCTCTCCATATAACACCTCTCAGCCAAAAGCTCAAATCAAAAGTTCAGTAGTAGGAAGCTACGCCGAATCTGAAAAAATTTAAAAACAACGGGGTGAGCTAGCGCTCAGTGAGAACATTTCCCACTAGAGTTCCTAGATAACTAACAAAATAGTAATGAGAATAATTCTCAGAAATAACGAGTTACAAGTTTTACATGAGAAATTCAAAGATAACAAAATAAGATCCAAATATCATAATATTGTCGTCTTTAAGAAAGAATGCAACAATTATATTTTCTTTCTTATGTGCAACTGAATATACTGTGAAGTTTCTTGAAATCAAACCCTTTTTGAATCAAGGTAAACATTAAGACGGAAAAGAACGACTAATTTGTACAAACCAGATAATTATTATTTTCTCAATTTCAGAGTCAATTATCAAAATCTTAATTCTCGATGAGTTATTCATGAATGTAAAAGTCACATCATAGGTCACGCTAAGGCTACGAATTATAACCCAGTAGCAAGGGAATGCGTAAAACGAGATCACATGACAGATAATTCCCGGGAATCGAATGCACCTAAGTAGCTAACATTGCCATAGTTTACTGACCAAAGACAGAGGGGCCGGAATAAATTTTAGAAGGGCCAATACAGAAGGGCCAATACAGAAGGGCCAATACAGATGGACCAAATAAAGGTACATTCACCATATGGCAGGCAGAAACAATCCATAGTGGACTATTTGAGGGTTTGAAAACATCGAGATCACATGTCCAATGAGTAATACTTTGCATATCAGAATTTACAGATATTTTCAAATGAAGTTGACAAGGTAAAGCTCTTCACTTCAGTTAAAACAGTTTACGGATTTATACTTTTTCTTTTATCAGATACTAAGTCACGTAAAATCTTTGAATCCGTTAAACTGTTGAAATACATTCCAAATACTTCATCAAAAACTTTCAGATAAAACAATGCCCATAATTATTTGAAAATTGTATGAGAGCCAAATTCATTTTTCATATTTTACACAAAAATCAAATTTGTTTTTCATATATTGTACGAGGCTAACATCGTATTATAGGATAAACCACAACAGAAATAGGTTAAATCTTTATATACATGAAAATAACATATTATTTATTTTTTGATCACCAGATAAATCAAATATCATACTCATGCAATTTCATATTATAAAATACTAGTGAGAAATGAACTCACCTCAAGTGGACACGACTTTTCCCAAAATATTATCCCCTGGATATCAACCAGGTCCTATAATATAAGACTAATTCAGAACAAGTACGTTTTATAGGATAATCACTGCAGAGCTTAAAATCAATCATATTCATGTATATTCAAATAATAATTATCTATAAATATGGTATACGTAGGCTTCTTTTCTCATTTCAGCAATTTACCCAGCTAAATTTCTAACTAAGTTGAATTTTCTGGGCCTAGTTGCAAATTTATTGAACAGTAGGATCCTCATGAATATTTTCCATTTATTTTTATATTTGGACCCATATATACAAGCTAAAAAACTTTCAGGGGACCCAAAAGAATTTTACTATTTTATTTTAATTCTCCTTTCTCTCTCTTCTTCATCTCTTCCTTCTGTTTCCCTACTTTCTCACTTTATTTTCCTTTCGGTTTTCTTCTTCTCTTCCTCTCTTCTCTTTTTTTCGGTTGCACATGAGCAGGCCGCCTCCGGATCCTCCACGGCGGCAGTGAGGCTCGCCGGTCATCAAGGATCAACGGCGAGTTCCTCGCCGGCGATGGTAAGTGTTCTCTTCTTTTTTTTCTCTTTTTTTCCAATTTCTTAAGATATCAGAGACTTTAACCCCATGAAATCAAAGAATTCAACAAAGAGGGTAGTTCATACCTTTGGATTGTCTTGAATTTTGATGAAATTCCTCTCTTTTACTTTTTCCCTAATCTTCTTCTTCTTTTCTTTTCTTTTCTTTTCCTCTATCTATTTTTTTTCCTTGGGGGGTTTTTGTTTTCTTTTCAACCTCTTTTTATACTGATGAGAGGCAGTGTAAATTTTTCACCAACATAGGTGAGGCGGTAAAATCACCGACATAGGAACAGTGTGATTGTTTTTTTTATTTGTTTGGGCTGTTACAGGAGATGGGAAAGTTGCAATTTTAAAGGAGCAGAGGAAATTTTCTCCTTCGGAACCTGACCTCCCATTTTCTCACGTACAAATGTGTACGCATGTATCCCACAATATGTATCTTCAAAACGTTTGGAGATGTCTATCTATGGTCACCAAATGCACAAGGCCGTTTCTAGATCCATGGGTGTCACCGAATGCACAAGGTCAGTGCTAGGGTACTTTCAAAAAGGTTGAGAAAATATAGAAGAATTAACAGCAATTGCTACCTTTTAAAAATCTCTGTGAACTACACTGCAGGTACTTACAATATTTTATAAACAACGTGAAGAAGGGACCAATATGATGTAACATCATGATATGGATCTGCACTTATCTTTCCTACGAATTAAAATCATCCAAATATTCATTAAAGCACCTAGAAAATGTAAGTTAAATACAAGTTTAGTCCCTGATGAGCTCAAAATCATGTATAAAGAAACGACCATACTAAAGTTTACATTTGTGGAGGAAAAGAACGATATAAAAGTCAAGATGGATACCTTGTCTTCATTGCCACCAACAGAAACTGGTGATGCACTACAGATATCATTCTTGCACTCATCAATATAGGCATCTGAAGTTACATTTGTCCCACTAGTAACTGCACAGTGTGAAGGCTGCTGGAGACTGTTCTGCCTCAAAGTATTACTTTTGCTTGTCATTGCATCTTTTACACAGGTGCTGCCAGATTTTTCATTGCTTGTGCTGGCATCTTTTATGTGCTTTTTCTCACTTATTTCAATGTCCTCACACTGCCCAGTTTTGGGCAATTTATCCTTTCTTACCTGATCTTTTATCTTAGTGAGACTGTCTGGCTCCGCTTGAGAAACGTCATATATTTTTTTGGGTTTACTAATTGCAGTACTTGAGTTATTATCTGCTGGAAGATCATTGATATTCTTGATAGTTACACGCTCACTTTTGACTATTTTTTTGTCTTTGTTGTTTACATTGCGCTCGCTTAAATCAGATTTTGTATTCATGCCTTCATCTTCCATGGGCATTCTGTCCAGCACCAAAGGATGCTTCAAATCGACAGCCTTGCAAGAATTAGTAACTCTATATGACCCATCAACTCTATTGTTATATGTATTACCATCCATCAAATTATTTTTCTCGTTGTCTAGATCATTATTATCCTGCTCATTCTGCATAGGCTTATCATTCATTGCCTGGTCTTTCATGATAATGCGGTCTTCTTGCTCAATGCAAGGACTGCCAGCTATATTTTCTGGCCTAATAGCAGATTCTAGAGACCCGTTTACTGATGATAGTTGACTTCTGCTAGTTTCTATAGTTAGCGTTTTGCTCTCCTTTCTATTCCCTATGTCTGCATTGGATTCACTTGAAACAAATTTGATATCAACCTTGTGATCTGCTATTGAAGCTACTCCATTCGGCTGCAGACTACACTTCCCTTCTTTGATTACCTGCTGTCCCCACAAATTCAAGGAATCATGATTAGCATCTTCCCTGTACATTGAAAATTTATGCAGTGAGAAAAGTGGACATAAAAGAAAAGATTACATTACAACAGCCTAGAACTTAAAGGTTAACTTGTAAACATAGATATATAGGCATAAATTACCTGGATAGCCAACTGGCTATAATTTCAACATATGGCAAGATGTTATAGTATTCAACCACTGATGTTACTTCGCAAGTTAAATCCTTCTTAACTAATGGTCCTTCCAAGCTACAAAAGAAAGAAAAAAATGCTCATAAAGTTATTAGCAGATGTATTAGAAGCTCTGAAGTCCAGAAAAAAATTTTAAACATCAAGTTCAAGCCCTTGTAACTTTTCAAAGCATAAATTGCAACTTGTTTATGTGAAACTGACAATAGCTCATTTTAAATATTGTCCCATTGGATAAAGAGAATTTGATAATATTTTCCAAGTGTAAGTCCCCACCAAATGGATGAAGCAACGCTAAAGTTATAGTGGTAATAACAATATCAAGACAACACATGCATTAACCTTGTTATCACATCTTCTATAGCAACTTCGGGAAGCTCCTCGCTCAATACTCTTCCATACTTCATAATATACAATCTGGAAGTTGTCTTCTCATGACTTAATGAATATGTCAAATGACGTTCCAGAATGCTTAAATCTGAGCGACTAATTCCTGTTTAAATGTATATAAATCTCAATCAGTTTTGCAGAATGATCAATGAAACAAACATAAGCAAAAAAGAACTTTTATAATATGTAAGTTAAAAAGTTTTTGTGATCCAATAACGACTAGTAATATCACAGCAACAAACCACTTCAGGGATTAATTGTGGATAGATCCCCTGTACTTCTATTGTTGTAGATAGACCCCTTCATTCTCAACCCCATTCATTTCTGGTTTAAATTAGTTATATTATATGCAATGATCATTATGCAAGTTTGTAGCAAATTAATCAGTATATGTAGGTCATATATTTCAGTTTATGAAGCCCAATCTCAACTGGAAACTAACATAGTTGAGACTAGAGAATACAGGGGGTCTATCTGCAAGATAGAAATACCGGAGGTCTATCCATGATTTGGCGATACTACTGGGACCTATCTGCAATTAACCCTATTAGAATAATGATAAAATAATAAAAATGATCATAGGCGGGCAATTATTCTGTTACTCCCTATGTTACATAGGTACAGATATGACTTATGAGTATAGACACAACAAATCTGTAGAAGGCAGGATATAGGAACATGACTATATATACACACATGTATACATATTGAAATTAACAGTTTACATGAGATCGATATTGTTTTCAATCACAATTTCACATGTTATGGAAAAGTAAGAAAGTCGTATAATGTTTTTATGCTTATTTTACTAAGTAGATTATAAATTGGAAACGCGCTCGTTTTCTCAACTAAATACCTAGATGTCCTTTTAAAATCATACTTCTGGAATGATATGGACTAAAACAGATCTAACCTGTGTCCTGCGAGTTGCAGGAAATGAACGTGAAGTGCAAGATGTATATCAAGAAGTATATGACGAGTGTTTCAAACTAAAACATGTATTATATAATTTAGTACATGTCTAAATAAATGTATGCATATGTTCAAGGAGTGTCCAAGGAGTGTCGGAGTCGGACACGGGTACAGGAGGTGTCGAACACGGTACAAGAGCCCAGATGAGGTGGTGGGTTAACTTCGATTCTTATATTTTTCACTTGTGCATTTCCAATTGTATGCGACTAAAGATGCACCTAAAACCAGTCAATACATCAGAAAGCATCCATTGAAATTTTACAGAAAGCATAACCTAATAGGTTTCAGCTGACACATTACAAGTATGCACATGAAGAGAAAATTCAAACAATTGTGTGCGTAATGACTCATTCAAGTATCATTAAAAGAATTTATCAGGAGTTTGCACCAACCAAACAGGGAATAAGTAAAGTTAAGTAATATATTTACCTACACGCATATAGAGAATAATAGGTATCCTTGACATATGAGGGAGTTCTCTCATATAAAGTAATTTATTTGAATCTCAGCCAAGTGTAAGGTCATTCTTCCATTATTAATTAAATGAAAATTAAATGAAGCCACATCCCTTGGCCGAGATTCAGATACATCACTGCATACAGGGTATCAAGGAAGGAAATAAGAGAGATTTGAAATGATATGGCAAGCCAACTCCTACAAGAGCAGCTAGTTCCTTCCCACCTAACAGACTGAGGCCAGGCTGTCAAGCCACATAACAAACCAGAAAGCTATCCAGCCTCAGAAAATAAGCGAATATGAGAGGATCACTCAACTTGGACATATGATACCCGTTATTCTCGATATGTGTGTGTGTATACACACACACATATATCGAGATAACGGTATCATATGCCGTGAGAGGTATATATATATATATATATATAATACCTCACTCATACATACTGTTATTCTAGAATATATATGTATGTATGTATGTATGTGTGTATGTATGTATGTATGTATGTGTGTGTGTGTATATATATACAATATATATATATATAATATATAGAATATATATATATATATATACACACAACACACATACTACATACATACAAATATATCGAGAATAACGGGTATCATGTATTAAGCATGTGTGTAGGCATGCTTGAATTAAAGTAGACAAGACAATTCAAAAGTTTGATTTATGAACACGAAAAAGTAGCATGAGGACTTATCAGCAAGGACAACTTTAGGATGACAGAATGGTGTACCATGGGAAAGGAAAGCCCTAAAAATACTCTCAGCAAAAAAATCGGAAAAATAGTGCGGTATTGATTTCATTTACAATTACTTAGAACCAGAGGGCAAATAGGAATTCATAGCCATCATTTAATTGCAAATGACAAGAAAATATAATTAATGTCGATCATAGTCAATTGAGGACTCGAAATTATATTCTAATTTGATCATTTGATTGGCTTCTTTTTCAATGAAAAACTTTCCAGCGTGAAGAAATGGGGCAGCACATTGAGATCTCTAGATTCGCCAAATATCCTAAAAAATTATGTAGGTTTGATTTTTTAGTGTCATTCTACTATGTCATGTTTAATAAAAATGGAAAAAATAGTCAACTCAAACGCTAGCAGTCATTCTGGTTGTCAGAATGAGCTTCTTGACATCTGGTTTGGTCAATCAAACTGCTAACCATAAGTTCATTGAATCACCAGCATCTAAGCAAGATCATAGAACAATCGACCAGAGAGGTTCCCACAATTTAATCATCCCAGCTATCTTCTAATCAAGCTCGCCAGGTTAAGAAACAAGTGAATATACCTGAAAGATTCCTGTCGGTAACTTCAGAAGGAAAGTGAAATGAAAGAGCCTTAACGAAGTAACAGGATGTTGAGGGGCGGGGATTTGCACAGCAGGGTGAGGAAACTAGAATAATATAAATAAGTCACTTGAAGAACATATTAGAAAAATTAAATCACCTGTTTCTTGCTCAACAGAAGAAAATGCAAGCTGCTCAAGTACTTTTTCGAACTCATCAGCTTCATTCTGTGAGAATCCATTTTCATAGTGGGCTTCAACAGCTTTTTCCACTAATGACCAGACACCTTGAGTAATAGAACAGAACTGAAGCAAACAGTTTTTGTTTGTAGGATCAACTAGAAAGACCGCAACTTTAGAAATTGGCCATCCCTGTATGATTGGATTATCTTTTGATGAATCTAATTCTATACAAATATTACAAGCATCCATGACCATCTTCTCAGTGATGGAGAACTGGTTGTTGAGATTATCAGAACCCTCTTCACATCCATGCATATATTTCAGGTAATGTAATATCCCTGGTTTGGCTATGCAGCAGAGTTTGAAAAAGGACTCTAAACCAAGAAACTCTAGTTTAGGAAACTGCTTTCGGTGATAATAATTATAAAGTATCACAACTGCATGCATCTGCAACAGCAGAGAATAGTTAAAAGACAAGGATAACCATTGCAAAATGATAAACATACCTGATGGAAGCAAATCTAATAGACTAGAAAAATTATAAAATACTCAAAAATAAATAAATCATAAACCAAAATACGAAATGGTATAGCAAAAAAAAAAAAAAACAGAAGAAGCGTTAGAAATTAAAAGGAAAAAAAACATACAAGACAAGGAACAAATCAGAAGTAAAGTGCTTACAATAATTATAAGAAAAAGAAAGGTTGGGAAACAGTGTCTGTACACAGTATCTTCAATAAAACATTCAAACACATGCAAGACATATTGTTATGATCTTTTACTAACAAATCCTACAAATCGTTATGTGAAATGTGAATTAAAAAAAATGAGGTCTGGTCTTTTATGTACAAACCCTCCCAATGATAGGTACCTAAGCATCCCTCTAAACATGATAAATGTTATTTTACCTCCATGTTATACACAATCCAAAATTTTCATACCACAGTTCCATTATGGAAAGATGAACGTTTCTTTACAAAATTTTAACCTGGCTTAATCTATAAACAATTAAACTATCCCTAATTAACTTAAATAAGTATAAAACCAATTCCCTTTTTCTCCTCTATCATCGGCAGGACCCGTGGCAACCG